TCACATGCATATGAGGCCATTGAAAATACCATGACTTGGGTCATGCATACCTTAGTCCTCAAACTGACATCTTTGCTCTTGAACATTTTAAAGAGATCTTTTGAAGCAGATTTGTCTAATGCAATCCATCCTTTGATTTTTTGACTGCTTCTTCCATGAGTGTTGATTGCAGACCCATGCAAAATGAAATCTTTGACAACTTTAGTTGCTTCTCCCTTTATCATGACGTTATTTATTGATTCTGTTGTAAGGATTTTTGTTTTCTTTACATTGAGGCACAATCCATGCTGAATGTTATAGTCTTTGCTCTTCAGCAGTATTTTAAGTCCTCTTGGCATCTAGCAAGCAAGGTTGTGTCATTTGCTTATTGCAGGTTGTTCATGAGTCTTCTTCCGGTCCTGATGCTTCATTCTTCTTCATATACCCCAGCTTCTCAGATTATTTGCTCAACATTCAAATTGAATAAGTATGGTGAAAGGACACAACCTTGGCACACACCTTTCCTAATTTTAGACTATTTAGTGTCCCCTTGTTCAGTTAGAACCAATGCCGCCTGGTCTATATACAGGTTCCTCGTGAGCATAATTAAGTGTTCTGGAATTCTATTCTTTGCATTGTTATCCATAGTTTGTTATGATCTGCACAGTTGGATACCCTTGCATAGTCAATACAGTACAAGTAAGCATCTTCCTGGTATTTCTTTTTTTGGTCACTATCCATCTGACATCAACAATGATATCCCTAGTTCTGGGTCCTTTTCTGAATCCGGCTTGAATTTCTAGCAGTTCATTGTCAATGTACTGCTGCAAGTGTTTTTAAATGATATTCAGCAAAATTTTGCTTACATATGATAGTCATGATATTTTTCAGTAATTTCCACATTCCGTTGGGTAACCATTCTGTGGAATGGGCACAAATATGAATCTTTTTCAATAGGTTGGCCTGGTAGCTGTCTTCTAAATTTCTTGGCATAGTCAAGTGAGTGCCTCCAGTGCCGTGCATTTGTTGAAACATTGCAGTTTGTATTCCATCAATTCTTGGAGCCTTGTTTTTCGCCAATGTCTTCAGTGGACTTCTTTCTTCAATACCAACGGTTCTTAATCATATGCTGCCTCTTCAACTGGTTGATAATCAACCATTCCTTTTTTTTTTTTTTTCTTTTTCCATTGTTTAACTTATCATAATGTTATTAATATACAAAGACAAAAAACTTTTAAAACATCATATTTACTAAGATTCTGGCAATAGCTTTATGTAATAGCTTTTAAAACATCATATTTACAAAGATTCTGGCAACCAGGCCTGCCACCAAATTTGTATATGGTAAATCTCAGCTTCAATTTTGAAGCTGTGAAAGGAAAACAACATAAAAAGTCTCTTTACATTCTAAATCTCTCAGAAAGTATGCCATTAAACACAGAAATGAACTTAGCATAGCAAGGATAAGGCGTTACAACAGTGAAACGTGCAGTCTAAACAAAATCCATAGAAAAAATAACTACATCAGTTACATAACTGGTGAAAATGTAACAGCATAAAACATGCAGTTTAGAATTTTTTAACTATCAAGTTCAAAAAGTACCAGTGTCTATTTGAAATGATTACTCTCCAAGGTCAAAGTACAGACAAAATTAATTCAAATGACACAGCACATTCTAATGCTAAAAAATATTCAGTATTAGAGTGGAGGTAAACTTCAGAGACTTTGGGGTTTATGCTGCAAAGGGCTATTTCTCGGGTTCCCTCAAAGCATGCAGACAAAGTCCCAGGATGTCACTAAGCTCTGATTGTGTCCAGCTCCAACCTTCTGCAGCCACAAAAATAGGATGTGTGAGGACCAAGGAATACTATTCCACTAGCTAAAGAGATAGCAAACCACCCACCCACTCCCTAAAAGCCCCTTTCCCTGGTAAATGAACATATATGAGGGAAAAGAAAAGAAAATACATTTATCTACAGTGTAAGAAGTTTGATACACAAGTGTAATCCATAGTTTAAAACGTTAACTAGATCATCGGATATTTCTAAACACATCTTAAAGATGTGTCCAGTTTCAATTTCTGTTATTGATAATTAGATTGGTGGTGTTGTTGATTAGTACGGTGGAGTCAGTTCTGACTCCTAGTGACACTGAACAGGGTTTCCAAGGCTATAAATCTGTATGGGATCAGAAAGCCTCATCTTTCTCCCGCGGAGCCACTGGTAGTTTCGAACTGCTGACCTTGAGGTTGGCAGCCCAACTCATTACCACTACACTACTAGAGCTCCTTAATTAGATACTTTGATAATTAGATACTTCTAGTAAAAAATACTCACTTTATCCCTAAGTATCTTAAACACCAGAGTACTGGTGTGGTGCTGTAGGACAAACACTCGATCATAAGGTTGGTTTGAACCACAAGGTTGGCGGTTCAAACTCACCAGTGGCTCCTCAGAAACCCAATACAGGGTCGCTATGAGTCGAAAGTGACTCCACAGCACTTAACAATATCAATGATCGTAACTACTAGTATGACTGTAGTGTACTATTTCCTAGAGCTATTAAGCAAGGAAGGAACTAAAAAAAGATATTCAAGCAGCAGGCAGCGATTATGATCCTTTCACACAGTGGCATCTGAGTGACTACTGAAAGTCCAGGAATCATTTTTAAAACAAGAAAATTCATGCACTTCAGTAAATATGTCATATTTCTCACAGTTGAAATGTCCTTAGACATCGCACTTTCTTTTCAAGGGAATCCTGATTTTTCTTGACATTGTGGCGAGTTAGAACTTGAACTAGCAGCCTTCTTTATCTTATTGTGTTGCGTAGCGTTCTTCTTCTTTTTTGCTCGTACCTCCTCAGTGTAATTGAATTCTGACAAGGACTCAGATGATCCAGGTTTGTCTTCAGGATACATCTTTATTTTTTGCCAAGTCCTTTCAGATCCTTTTCTTTCTCAGTTGCAGCTTTTGACTTCCTTTTCTTCTTAAAATGATCCTTACTGTCTGACTCCGTTTCTGACATGGAACTTTCTGAAGATTTATGTTAACAGTTCTTTTTCCAAGTTTTCTTTTTTTATCCTCAGAATCTGAAGAACTGCCGGAAGTCACAGCTTGATGAAGAAGAAGATGAATACCTACCAGATTTCTTTTCCCTTTTCTTTGTCTTTTTTTAGATGAGCTCTCACTTCCACTTAACAGTTTTTCCCTATGTTTTTGTAGTTCTTTCTTCCAGTTCTCATTCATTGTTTCTTCAAATTCAGCCAGTGTCTTTAGAGCTCTTTGTTTGTTTTCTAGTTGCTCTTTCACTTCTTCCCAGGTGGGCCTTGGTCAATTCAGATAATCTTGGATCATCGGCCCTGAAGACTTGACTGTACCCCTTGATCTGGTTCATATAGGCTGCTCTATTGTCCCATTTCCCCATAGTGCCATAGGACTTAAATGCACAGTCAGATGGCAAGGGAAACCAGGCCTGAAAGAACCATTTCTTTTTGGTATCGTCACTCTGTGTATTTCTTCCAGTTTCTTTTGATGCTTCCTGTATCATTCAATATTTTGTCCATAAAATCCTTCAGTATTGCAAATTGAGGCTTGAGGGTTTTTTTTCTTCAGTTCTTCCAGCTTGAGAAATGCCGAGCATGTTCTTCCCTTTTGGTTTTCTAACTCTAGGTCTTTCCACATTTCATTGTCATACTTAATTTGTCTTCTTGAGGGGCTCTTTTGAAAATTTCTGTTTAGCTCTTTCTTCTTTTAGCTTTAGATTCTCTATGCTCAAGAGAAACTTTCAGAGTCTCTTCTAACGTTCTTTCTGGTCTCTTCTTTCTTTCCTGCCTTTTTAATGACCATTGGCTTTTTTCCCTGTATGATGTTCTTGATGTCCCACAACTCTTCTGGTCTTTTGTCATTAGTTCTAATGCATTAAATCTGTTGTTCAGCTGGTCTCTAAATTCAGGTGGGATATATTCCAGGTCTCAGAGTTCAGTGTTCAGGGTGCAGGCTCCAGGGAAAGGCTTTCTCTGTCATCTCTGGAGGAAGGACCTTGTCTCTTTTCAGCTTCTGTCCCTCGGTTCCTTGGCAATCTTCACATGATGTCTATCTTCCTTTCTGTTTGTGCTCTCTTCTCTGACCCTTATCTGCTCTTTTTATACCACAGAGATGTTTAGCTGAAAACTCGCCTATACAGATATAGTCTCATTACCAAAAAAATCATATTCCCAGATGGGTTTATTTCCACATGTATAGAGTTAGGATTGACAGCATATATTTTATTATTGTTGTAAGTGCTGTTGAGCTGGTTCTGACTCATAGCAACCCTGTACAGGTTTTCCAAGGAACGGCTGGTGAACTTAATCCACTTACTTTGTGATTCAAACCGACCTTGTGGTCTAGTGCTTATCCTACAGTGCCACACTAGTGGTGCACGATTCCATCTATAATAAGACTCAGGAACCATCTTGCTTGTGGTCAACAGCCAGTAGGTCGCAGAGCTGAGATTCAAAGCCAACTCCCATTTTCCGAGACCAGCTAACCCACAGTTGGCCAGGAGCTCTGCTAGGCCTTTGTTTCCAGCCTGGGGAGGGTGTGGCTGGAGAGGCTCCCCAGTAAAGCTGTATCACTTACCAACTGTGTGCCCTCGAATAAGTGAGTTTGCCTCCCTGTGTCTCAGTTTTTCCATTTGTGGAATGGGAACATGATAACTCTTGTTCATGGGTTCACTGTCAGGATCAAATTTGAAAAGGGCTTACTTAGCAGTGTCCAAGGGTCCTGGTGGTATAGTTAAGTGCTTGGTTGTTACCTGAAAGGTCAGCAATTGAATTCACCAACCACTCTGGGGAAAGATGAGGCAGTTCTACTCCATCCTACAGGGTCATTGGAATTGACTCCATGGGCAGCAGTTTTGCAGTGTCCAGCAATTTCTAAGTGCTCAGAAGAAGGTGGCAATGATCGTGAGATGCGAGATGATGGAGAAGGTTGTAATGATGCCCTGTTGATCCTTCTTCCCCTCAGGCAAGCCGGCACCATGCGCGTGGTAGTGATTGGAGCAGGGGTCATTGGGCTGTCCACTGCCCTCTGCATCCACGAACTCTACCACTCAGCCCATCAACCGCTGGACATAATGGTCTACGCAGACCGCTTCACCCCACTCACCACTACCGACGTGGCTGCCGGTCTCTGGCAGCCCTATCTCAGCGACCACTTCAATCCACAGGAGGCGTGAGTGGGGGTCCAGAGGTGGCTGGGGGCCTGTGGGACAGAGTCTGCCAATAGGGTACCTACCTCAGGGTTCATCAACAAGAACAAACCCTTACAGGGTCTGACCTGGCAGGCCAAACAAAAACACTGAAATCTGTGAGCGCTAGAACTTGAGAGGGGTTCCCAAGTTTTCTGCCTCTTGACAGGGTGCAGTCTTACCACTTTCCTATCACTCCTTTTAGTGAAAAAGATTTGAGTTTTCCTTCTCTGACAGGTTTCTGCCTCACATAGGCTCCCATTTTCAAAGGTTCATACATATGTGTGTGTGTATGTATATATATGTGTACATATGCGGGTCTACACATACACATGTTGTTGTTAGGTGCCGTCAGGTTGGTACCGACTCATAGTGACTGTATGCACAACAGAGAGGAAACACTGCTCAGGTCCTGCATTAACCTCACAATCATTCCTACGCTGGAGTCCATTGCCGCTGCCGCTGTGCAAATCCATCTCATTGGGGGTCTTCCTCTTTTTCACTGACCCTCCACTTTACCAAGCATAAGCACACACACACATATATGCTGACCTACATACATATATATGAGGGGACTCCAAAAAGTTTATGGAAAAATGGGACTAAAAGATAATAGAATTTTTTTATGAGCTTTCTAAAGCCCCTCGTGTAGACATACATATATACATGTATGAAAAAAAAGTGGAAGTTGGGAGAGGTGGACCATCTGTAGGCATATGGATCTTTGCAGGAGTGAACACTAGATTTCTGAGTGTTGGATACATCCTCAGCAGCCTAGTCATGGCCCTATGCAAACTGTCCCTCTGAGCTTCCTTGTTCAGCTAGGGATATTAGGTGACTAAGATTTTGGGTGTCTCTTTTAGGGACTGGAACCAGCAGACCTTCAACTACCTCCTGAGCCACATCCATTCTCCCAACGCTGAGAAAATGGGCCTGACCCTTATCTCCGGCTACAACCTCTTCCATGAAGCCGTCCCGGTGAGCGAGGTGTTCTTGAATGTGAGGGGAGTCCAAGGCAGGAGGCAGAGCCTTGTTTAAAGACTCTGCAGGGGCCCGAGTCAGGGCAGAACTTTGACCCTTATAGGTGTCAGACTCTTGGATTCAAAATAGGTTCACTTTAGATTTGTACTTTAAAAAAAAAATATTTTTGTTTCAAGTTTTATTATTATATTGGCAGAGATCTTCTAATAAATAGTACTAGCCCCTTTGTAAAGATGTAAAATACGTTCCGCACTTGTGGATGTTTAGTGTTTAAGCCAAAAGGTTTTCTATGTCACTAGGGGTCATAGGGATTTTCATAAAGATGGAATACAATGCTAATACAGAAACTTCCAAAGTATATATTATGTGCCAGGTCATGTCCCCATTATTTTACAATTGTTGTTGTTGTTAAGTTCTGTCCAGTTGGTTCCAACCTATAGCGACCCTGTATAGGGTTTCCGAGGAGCAGGTGGTGAGCTTGAACCACCAACCCTGCGGTTTAAACTGACTTTGCAGTCCAGCGCATTAACCCACAGCGCTACACCTCTCACAATAACAAGGAATAAAAAATCCTTAAGGGGTCTCTGGGTGGCAAAAATGATTAAGCGCTCAACTACTAAACAAATGGTTGGCGGTTTGGTCCACCCAGAGGCACCACCAAAAGAAAGGTCTGGCAGTCTGTGTCTGGAAGGTCACAGCCTTGAAAACCCTATGAAATGTAGTTCTACTCTGCAACATGGAGGGTTGCCGTGAGTCAAATCAGCTTGATGGCAGCAAGCTTGGTACGTTGGTAGTAGAAATGGTTAATGTGTTTAGCTGCTAACCAAAAGGTAAGAGGTTCAAATCCACCCAGAGGTACCTCAGAAGAAAGGTCTGGCAATCATTACCCTTATCCTGCAAATGAGAGTCCTGAAGCTCAGAGAAATTGAGTAACATTCCCAAGGTCACAAAGCTAATATTAACAGAGCTGAGGTGTGAACGTAGGCCTTTGGTGACTGCATGGTACCCACTGTGTTCAGAAGATCGTCATGGGCTGGAAGGATGAACTGCTTGGAGAGGGTGGTCTGACTTGTACCCAGAACCCCCTCCACCAGGCTCTCTATTATTGTTTATTCAATGAAGCTCAGGGCCTTACCCACATGATCTGAGTTACTTTCATAGTACCAGCTTCATGACACAGACAAGAAACCTGAGAATTCTTAGAAATCAGTGAATCTGTTCATGTTGGTAAAGAGTGGAACTTTTATCTCCATCTGGGTTGTTTGACCCTAAACTCTGCCACCTCCTTATCTTACCCCTTGGTGACCCTCATTGCTATCTTTCTTCTTCATTTCTTACCTTCACCCTATTGCTCTCTCTCCCTCTTATTCTTATCCTTATTATAGCATAGTGGTTGAGACTTGGACTCTGGAGCTGAAGTGCATGGGTTCAAATCTCAGTTTCATCACTTACTAGCTATGTGACCTTAACCTCTCTTAGCCTCATTTTGTCCCTCTGTACAATGAAAAGAAGAATAATATCTACCTCCATGAGTTGTTGTGAAACTAAAATGGCCTGATGTAAATAAATGCTAGAAACTCTATATGAGTTTCTAGAGTTCTTGTTGGTTTCCACCCATCCTTTTGTTCCTTCCTCTTTCTGTAGGACCCTTCCTGGAAGGATACAGTTCTGGGATTTCGGAAGCTGACCCCCCGAGAACTGGACGTGTTTCCTGATTACAGGTAAAGGGGCTGAGACACCACAGTCCAGAAAGACCTGTCCAGATGGTAACAGAAAATGGAGACACACACTTTGCAGTCCCATTCCAGGCCAGCTGGTACCTTTGGTCTCCTGGGAATTGATCCAACTCCTTCAGAGAGGACACCCACCTAGACTGGGCCTTGAAGTAGGGAGTATGTGAGATTGTTGTGTTGTTTTTATTACGTGTTGTGGAGTAGGTTCCGACTCATAGCAACTCTATGCACAACAGTACTAAACACTGTGTGATCCTATGTCATCCTCACAGTTGTTATGTTTGAGCCCATAGCTGCTGCCACTGTGTCAATGGGCAAAATGTGTCAAAGTCCTTGTGGCTTTTCCTGTTTTTCACTGACCCTCCACATGATATTCTTCTCCAGAGCCTTGTTATTGTTGGTAGGTGCCATTGAGTTGGTACCGACTCATAGCATAACAGAACAAAACACTGCCTGGTCCTGGGCCAACCTCACAATCGTTGCTATGCCTGAGCCCATTGATGCTGCCACTGTGCCAGTGCACCTTGTTGGGAGTCTTCGGACTTCCTCCTTTTCTTAGACCCGCCACTTTACCAAATATGATACCCTTCTCCAGCAACTGGTCCCTCCTGATAACATGTCCGAAGTAGAGAGATGAAGTCAGACCATTCTGGCTTCCAAGGTGCAATCTGTCTATACTTCTTCCAACACAAATTGGTTTGTTCTTTTGGCAGTCCGTGGTACTTTCAGTATTCTCCTCCAACACCATAACTCAAATACATCAATTCTTCTATGATCTTCCTTATTCACTGTTCAACTTTCACGTGCATATGAGGTTATTAAAAATACCATGGCTTGGGTCAGGTTCACCTTAGTCCTCAAATCTTTGCTCTTCAATACTTTAAAGAGGTCTTGTGCAGCAGATTTGCCTAATGCAATACGTCACTTGATTTCTTGACTGCTGCTTCCATGAGTGTTGATGGTTGATCCAAGCAAAATGAAGTCTTTGAAAACTTCATTCTTTTCTCCATTCATAAGAAAGTTGTTTATTGGTCCAGTGGTGAGGATATTTTGTTTTCTTTACATTGAGATGCAACCCATACTGAAGACTGTGGTCGTTGATCTTCATTAGTAAGTATTTTAAGTTCTCTTCGCTTTCAGCAAGCAAGTTTGTATCATCTTCATATTGCAGATTGTTAATGAGCCTTCCTCCAATCCTGATGCTACATTTTTCTTCATAGAACCCAGCTTCTCAGATTATATGCTCAGCATACAGATTGAATAAATATGATGAAAGAATACAACCCTGGCGCACATCTTTCCTAATTTTAAACCATTCAGTGTTCCCTTGTTCTCTTCCAACAACTGCCTCTTGGTCTATGTACAGGCTCCTCATGAGTACAATTAAGTGTTTTGGAATACTCATTCTCTGCAGTGTTGTCCATAGCTTGTCATGATCCACACAATTGAAAGCCTCTGAATAATCAATAAAGCACAGGTATACATCTTTCTGGTAGTCTCTGCTTCAGCCAAGATCAATCTGATATCAGCAATGATATCCCTCATTCATGTCCTCTTCTGAATCCAGCTTTAACCTGTCAATGTATGGATGCAAAGAATGATATCTCCAGGGACTCCTAATAGCATGTCTGAAATATGGAAGAAGTCTCACTATTGTGGATTATAAGGAACACTCTGACTGTACTTCTTCCAACACAGATTTGTTTGTTTTTCTGAAAGTCCATGTTACTTTTAACATTCTTCTCCAACACCATAATTCAAATGCATCAATTCTTCCATGGTCTGCTTTATTCATTGTCCAATTGTCACATGTAAATGAAGCAACTGAAAATACCAAGGCTTGGGTCAGGTGCACCTTAGTCCTCAAACTGATATCTTTACTCGTAAACACTTTAAATCATTTAGTATCTCCTTGTTTTGTTCTAATAACTGCCTCTTGATCAATGCGTAGATTCCTCATGAACGCAATTAAGCATCCTGGAATACCTATATTTTGCATTGTTATTCATAGTTTGTCATAGTCCACACAACTGAAAGCCTTTGCATAATTGATAAAGCACAAGTAAATATCTTTATGGTATTCTTTGCTTTCCACCAAGATTCATCTGACATCAACAATGATAATACTTCATTTCACATCCTCTTCTAAATCTGGCTTGAATTTCTGGAAGTTTCCTCTTGACATACTGTTGCAAAGTTTACTTGTATGTGATATTAATGATGTTGTTCGAAGATCTCCACATTCTATTGGGTCATCCCTTTTTGGAGTAGACACAAATATGAATCTCTTCCAATCAGTTTGCGAGGTAGCTGCCATCCAAATTTCTTGGCATTGATTAATGAGTGTTTCCAGGGCTGCATCAGTTTGTGAAAAGGTGTCAATTTGTATTCCATCAATTCCTGGAGCCTTGTTTTTCACCAGTGGCTTCAGTGTACCTTGGACTTCTTTCTTCAGTACCATCAGTTCTTCATCATAGGATACCTGTTGAAATGGTTGAACATCGACCATTTGTTTTTGGTACAGTGACTCTGTGTATTCCTTTCATCTCCTTTTGATGCTTCCTTCATCATTCAATATTTTGCCCATAGAATCTTTCTATATGGCAAATTTACTCTTAATTTTTTTCTTCAGGTCTTTCAGCTTGAGAAATTCTGAGCGTGTTCTTTTCTTTCGGGTTTCTAATTCTAGTTCTTTGTATATTTCACTATACTACTTGACTTTGTCTTCTTGAGCTGCCCTTTGAAATTTTCTGTTAAGCTTTTTTACTTCCTCATTTTTTTCATTCACTTTGGCTTCTCTACCTTCAAAAGCAAGTTTCAGAGTCTCTTCTAACATCCTTTTTGGTCTTTTCTTTCTTTCCTGTCTTTTTAATGAACACTTACTTTCTTCCTGTTTGATGTTCTTGATGTCATCCCACAACTCTTTGGTCTTTCGTCATTAGTATCTAATGCATCAAATCTATTCTTGACATGGTCTCTAAATTCAAGTGGGATGTATTCAAGGTCATATTTTGAGACTCAGGAACTTGTTTTTATTTTCTTTAGCTTCAGCTTGAACTTGCATATGAATAGTTGATTATCTGTTCTACAGTCAGCCCCTGGCCTTGTTTTGATTGATGATATTGAACTTTTCCACCATCTCTTCCCACAGATGTAGTCAATTTGATTCTTGTGTATTCCATCTTGTGAGATCTATGTATATAGTCACATTTTATGTTGTTTAAAAAGGTTTTATGTTTTGTTTTTTCTTTAAGTTTTTATTGTGGATTGAGTGTAAAATTACAGGGCAGATAATCAGTTTTACATTCAACAAATCATACAACTTATTTCATCACAATGATTACA